GGCATCATTTTTATTACACACTCAAACTCAAAACCATTGATATTTCCCTCTCAAATAATCTATAATCAATAATTCACCTAGCTCTGACCATTTTTCCTCTACCTATCATTCTTTGTCCCTTTGCAATAAACCTGGCTCTTCATCATTTCAAATCTGCACTACTTTGAATGACTAATTTATCAGCTTCCAGGTTCCTTCTTATCTAATCTAGATCCTATCCTAATATCAGATTTACCTTTCTAATATACTCAGCTCAAAAGTCAGAAGCTCTCCAACCCACAAAAAGGGTCCCAACTGCAGAGCCAGCCCTGCATTCTACAACAGAACTGACTCCCAGGGACAGCTCCTGAGCTTATCTCCAGGCTTGCCATGCGCCCAGAGGCCTTGCCTCATATCCGGGCAACATAAACAGATAACTCATCAACAACTTTAATGGACCCTACCTGCTTCTTTCACTGGACCTCCCACTGATGGACCCGACTGTCGCAACTGGATCAGGAATGTCATGATGAACTGCCTCTTAACAGGCACCAACAACAAGGTGAGGTTGGTTAATTCCAGGGAGCAGGCTTGCTACTCAGTTTCATTTTCTTCCTGCTTCTCCTGGCCTGGCATCTCTTTACCACTCTTCTACTTTCCCAACATTCAGGGTTTCCCGTAAGTAAATTCACTAGCACTCCTAACCTTGCCTCCCTCCACAGCTCAACTGGAACTCACCTCTCCATCTCAGCCAGTGGTTTCCAGTCTCGTCAGACCCAATACCTTCTTTACATAACAAATACCACAGTGAAATAAAATTCATAGATATGAGTCTGTGAGCAACCATAATTTTGAATATTTATATAATTTCAAATATATACATATATTAGTATATAAATGAAATGCAAAAGAGAAATAGAAAAATTATTTATAACAAAATGATATATTGAAATATATAAATAGTCAGGCACAACTATACTGGAAATCATAATAAAGAACGGTGCTCACATCTGTATACAGAATAAGCATGAATACAACCACTACAAATTTAGACGGTTTGAGAGTGTTATATCAGCAACTTAATTAACACAAGCAACATTGCCATTAGGTAAATAAATACCTTTCCAGAACGGTAAACAAATTTTAGAAAAATTTTAAACAAAACACAATTTTCCTTCGATTTACACTGTAGCTGTATTCCTAGAAAATTTGGTGTGTATTAAACATGTGCAGAGCATACACTGGGTTTATATATGAAATAGTTGGATAATAGCCTAAGACAAATACAAACAGGTTTTCACCTGCATGAATGCCGAGTAGGACATTCAAAAGGCTTATGGGACATAAAACAATTGTTCACTGTATTAAAGCAGGAGTTGAGAAACTTTGTAAAGAGCCAGACAGTAAATATTTTAGGTTTTGTGGGCCACATACTCTGTCACAGTCACCTGATTCTAAGAAAGCAGACACTGACAATACATAAATGAATAGAAGTGCTGTGTTCAAATAAAAGTTTATTTTTAGCTCAGCCAGTGTGGCTCAGTGGATTGAGCATCATCCCATGGACTGAGAGGTCCTGGTTCGATTCCTGGGCAGGATGCATGCCCAGGCTGCAGGCTCCATTCCCAGTGGGGGGGGTGTAGGAGGCAGCCAACAGATGTTTCTCACACCAATGTTTCCCTCTCTCTCTCTCTCCCCCCCTCCTCCTCTTTCTCTCAAATAAATAAATAAAAACATTTTTAAAATTTTTTATTTTCAAAAACTGGCAGAGGGACCCAGATTGTAGTTTCCCTACTTCTGTATTCGAGTGTCCTACATATTGCAGAATACCCAGCTCTGATGCTCTAACTGCTAGTTACACTATCCAATTATTGTGGTGATACCTTCTATGGAGCCATAACCATCCCCCCCTCCCACACCCACCAAATGAGAACTCCTGACCCATTCACTGTCCTTGAGCTTTCTGGTCTCAGCTCCTCAATCTACTCTCCACTGCTTATCCCTCATGCCTAATTCAAGACCCTCCTGCCACCTCACCTCCCTTGACTAATGGAGGAATTGATTTAAAACTTACAATCTTTTAGAAATGATCTGGCACTGAAATGCCACCTAATGTTGTTTTTCAAATTATTATCTGTGTGTTCTGCCTCCCACCTAGAAGGCAGATTCCTTGAGGCACAGTCTGTGTCGAACACTCTGTCGTATTTATAGACTGCAGCGCAATGACTTTCTTGAAGTCACGCAGTAAATATCACGATTACCATGCTAGATGTTGAGGATACAGCAATGAACAATCAGACAAGGGTCCTGACCTCACGAAGATTATATACTAGTAGAGAGGAGCGCAAATAATTAATGTCAGATTCCAGTATAAACTATGAAGAAAACAGGGTGGTGACATGGTGAGTAAAAATGGGTAAGGAGGTGGTCAGCTGCCCTTTTAGATAAAAGAGTCAATGGAAATTTGTCTGAAAAGAAAATATATGAACTGACACCTGGCCTATGAGAAGAGCCAGAGAAGAACATTCCAGCCGTGGCCAACACTCATGTAAAACCCCTGACACAGGAGATCTTGTAGCATGTTTGGGGAAAAACACGTCATACGGTACTTGAAACGGCAGCTTTCAAATAATATGATTTAGGTTTTTAAAAAGATTATGCTGGTTACAGAGTAGAGAAGGGATAAATAGGAAGATAAAAGATGACGTGGAGAGTGTAATTAAACAACTTACAGAAGTCTAAGCAAGAGCTGATGATGCCCTGGACTAGGGGTGGCTATAAAGACAATGAAAGTAGACCGATTTGAGATGTTTTAGTGAAGTAACTTATAGGACTCCTTCATGGGCAAGATTTGGGGAGGAGCAGCAATGGGTGCTGCTATAACTAATACTGGGTGAAAATGATTTCAGTGATGGTGTGGAGGACATGAGTTCTATTTGGATATGTTAAGTTTTTTTTTTTTTTAATCCTCACCCAAGGACATTTAGAGTGGGAGGGGGAGGTAGAGTGGGAGGGAGAGAGAGAGAGAAACATCGATGTGAAAAGGACAGATCGAGTGGTTGCCACCCGCACGACCCAACCAGGGCCGGGAACAAACTGCAACCAAGGTACATGCCCTTAGCAGGATCCGAACCCAGGTCTTTCTGGACCACAGGCCAATGCTCTAACCACTGAGCAAAACCGGCCAGGGCTGGATGTGTTAAGTTTGAGATGACTGTTACACACTGATTGCTTTTTCAAGATTGAACCAGCCTTGCATTCCTGAAATAAACCTCAGTTGGTAGTTATATATTATCCTTCCTATATATTACTGGATTCAAGAGGAAATGCCAAGTAATGGATATATGAGAATGGAGACAAAGACAAGGTCTTGGCAAAGAGAGATATGTATAGGTCATCAGCTTATCGTTGCTATTTAAAGTCCTGAAATAATAAAATCACATTGGAAGAGATTTGATTAGAGAAAAAAAAGGCCCCTTGCCTGTCCCAAAATGCCCTAATATTTAGAAAAGGAACCAGCAAAAGAAAGAGAAAAACTACCTACTTGGAAGATCTGATGTCACCAAGGAGAATGTTTCAACCATGTATGACCTGCTAAAAGGTTTGATAAATTAAGGACAGGTGTCTATTTGTTTTGGCAATAAGGAGGTCATTGATTAACCTTATAAAAACATGCTCAGCTAAACAGGAATTATGAAAACCAAACTGAAGTGGTATGAAAAAAAGAGAATGAAAGGTAAAAAAGTGAAAACAGAAAGAAGACTTCCAAAATAATGTAAATAATAAAAACAGTTGTGGAAAACAATCAAACCAGTAATACACTACATTTACTTCACCAATACCTTAATAATACTATAGCAGTAAATCAATGATATTTATACTTCACTGTAGATCAACAAAACAAGTAGCTGTGGTTCCTTCAGCACAAGAACAAACTGAATTTTTAAGTCAAGATAATATATATTTTCAAAAATGCAGTAGAGAGAAAGCTACTAATACTAAAAGTTCTGATACTGAATTTAAAAGTTCCCACTAATGCCCTGGTCAGTTTGGCTCAGCAGTTAGAGCATGGGCCCAAGGACCAATGAGTCACGGGTTCAATTCTGGACAAGGGCATATACCTCGGTTGCAGTTTGTCCCCAGCCGTGGTCGGGGTCATGTGGGAGGCAATCAGTAGATATATCCCTCTCACGTCGATGTTTCTCTCTCTCTCCCTCTCTTCCTCCTTCCCACTCTATCCGAAGATAAAAAAAATATCCTTGGGTGAGGATTCAAAAAAAAAAAAAAATCTATAAGTCAAAAAGAAAAATCAAATAAAAATGTAGTAAGGGATAAAACAAAGAAATCAAGAAAGAATATAGATGAGTAATAAGACAGTATGATCCTCCTTCCTTTATTTATTTATTTATTTATTTATTTATTTATTTATTTATTTATTTATTTATTTTACTCCTCACCCAAGAATATGTTTAGAGAGAAGAAGGGGGAGAGAGAGAGAAACATCAATGTGATAGAGAAACGTCAATCAGTTGCCTGCTGTATACAGCCCAAATGGGGATCAAACCCTAAACCTAGGCATGTGCCCTGAGCGGGAATTGAACCCGCAACCTTTTGGTACACGGGAGATGCTCCAACCAACTGAGCCACCCAGCCAGGACTGATCCCTCATTTGTAAGGAATTTCCTTACAGTCATGAATACAGAGTAAAGCTAGATTAATATGCACCTCAGGAGCTCTGCAAACCAAATCAGATATATACAATTCCTCAGTCAGGTAGTGAACATCAATACACAGCAGCACATTTTCCCACACTTCAGTATGCAGCAGGATGCTCTCATTTTATTCAACATGACTTGATATGATGGCAAGAGGTACTGATCTTTAAATTTCAGTTCACACATTCCAATAAGAGATATAACCACATAATTTAAAAACTCAACATATTCAGAGATGCATAATTTTTAAACAGCTACAGGTATCATGCAAACACAAAAGCAGAGATAACAAGAGAAAAGACCTACCTTCCCTGATAGCTGTAAAAGGTGTACCTTCTTCTTCTTGCAGCCTGATCACCTTCAGGGCTACCAACTTCCCATTTACCCTGGGGGGAAAAAAAAAGGAAAAATGAGAAAAAAAATCCATGAAAATCTGTTCCTGTTATGGTTCTAATTTTCTTCCTTACAATTTATATTTTTGCACTGAAAATGTCAGTGACTCAATTATGCCACCACAACAAGATTAATTTCAGTAAGGCTAGGAATTCTACATCATCATCATAAATATTCACACTCTACTCCATTTCAAATATTCATACTAGCACAGTCCACAATTTAACTGAAGTTTTCTCTGATTCATTCTTCCAGAATGAAACTAGTGCTTAACAAAATCACCATGGGCCAGCCAGTGTGGCTCACTGGTTGGGCATTGACCCATGAACACCCCAAGCACCAAGAGGTTGCAGGTTTGATTCCCAGTCAGGGCACAAGCCAGGTTGTGGGCCTGATCCTCATTGGGGGGGCATGTAGGAGGCACCAACTGATGTTCTCTCTCTCACTAATGTTTCTATCTCTCAGGTAGCAACTGATGTTTTCTCTCTCACTAATGTTTCTATCTCTCTCTCCCTCTCCCTTCCTCTCTCTAAAAATCAATAAAGAAAAATTTTTTTTTAAAAAAACACCATGCTCTGTCAATTATTCTCAGATTAATGAAAAATTAAGCAGTCAGCCTTGGCCAGTTTGGTTCAGCGGTTAAAGCGTCGACGTGCAGACCAGAAAGTCCTGGGTTCAGTTCCCACTAAGGGCACGTACCTTGGTTGCAGTTTTTCCCTGGCCCCAATTGGGGTCATGTGGGTGGCAGCCAGTCGATTTGTCTCTTTAACATTGATGCTTCTCTCTCTCTCTTCCCCCCTCTCTCCCTCCCGCTCCATTTGTAGATAAATGCAAAAAATGTCCTCTGGTGAGGATTAAAAAAATTTTTTTTTAAATCAAGCAGTCAAAATAACTCTTTGTTTCTCCAATAGCTCCTTTGTTTCTTTTGCTGAAATGTCATCTTCAGTCCTAAATTGAGGTCATTCAATTCCCAGGGACAGAAACTTGATACTCAGCTTTCCCTCTTCCTTCTACCCTCTTCCTTCCTTTCCCTTCTTCCTTTCCTTTCCCTTCACCCTCCCTTCCTCCCTCTCCCTCCTGTCCTCCCTCTCAACATCCACCATTCCTCCTTTTTCACGATTTTTTCTTACTGGAGCATCCTAAAATTGTATTTGGTCTGACTGTGTTTTAGAATACAGTGTATCATCCAAGTAAAAATTATGAATATCTTACTATTACAAGGTTACACAAGACCTATCCAAAGCAGATGGTTCTTCCAGACACATTCTAAATGTGTATCAGCTCTAATTAACAGCAAGAATGCGTTAGGCAGATAACTTTTATCCAGTCAATTCTGTTAACAAAGACATGACTGCGTATATTAGTTTTCTACTTGAATGCTCTATTTTCTATCTTTACTGGGCCATTAAATGTGCAAATTTGACAGATTTTGTTCATTAAAATAGGTAAAACATGCACACATTAAAATATGTTGTAAAAAAAAAAAATACAAGAAGGCATTTGATGAATAATAAATCTCCCTACCATCCTCCCTCCGTCCCCCAGCTCCCATCCTCTGAGGTCACCACTTAACATCATTCACGTATACTTAAATACACACACACACACACACACACACACACACAGGGGTGGGCGGAAGTAGGTTTATAGTTGCTCATATGGAAAATAATACAATAATACATAATAATACAAGAAAGTCTGGCATGGCCAGTGTGGCTCAGTTGGTTGCAGCATCCTCCTGTGCACCAAAAGGTTTTAGGTTCGATTCTCAGTCAGGACATATACCTAGGTTGCTGGTTTGATGTCCAGTGGAGGTGCATATGGGAGGCAACCCATTGATGTTTCTCTCATACATCCATGTTTCTCTCTCTCTAAAATCATTAAAAACATATCCTCTGGTGAGGATTAAAAAAAACAATTATAGGCCCAGCTGGTGTGGCTCGGTGGTTGAGCATCGACTCATGCACCAAGAGGTCACCAGCTCGATTCCCAGTCAGGGCACATGCCCGTGTTGTGGGCCCGATCCCCAGTGGGGGGCATGCAAAAGGCAGCTAATCAATGTTCTTTCTCATCAATGTTACAATCTCTCTCTCCCTCTCACTTCCTCTCCCTCTCTCAAATCAATAAAGAAAAAAAAAAACCAAACAATTATAAACTGTTTTTCATACTTACAACTGTAAATCTATTTTTCTTACCCCATATATATGTGTATATATATACATATATATATACACACACACATATATATACACATATACACACATAAAAGCACACATACATACGTAATACATACACATATATACATACACAAATGGCAGTAAGCCATACAGAGTACACTGCATATAGTTTTTATCACTTAATGTATTTTGGTGACTTCCTCTTAAATTCATGGAAAACTGTATCCTGCTTTCGAAAGACCACAGGGTATTCCTTTGCATGAATGTGGTAAACTTCACTCGGTCCTCGTCGTCTACTGATAGGCCCTTGGCATGTTCCCGACTTTTTGCTACTAAAACAATGATGCAGTAAGTATTTCTGGACATGTAATTTCATCTATGTAAAAATATGTCTGTTAGATAAATTCCTAAGAGTAAAATTGCAAGATGAAAATGTATGTGCATTTCTAAATTCTAATTCTGCTGAATATTGGGAAATTATCCTGCACAGAGTCTGAATCAATTTACACTTCCTATAGCAAATGACAAGAGCTTCTGTTCCCCCTTCACCTACACTATGTTATCAACCCTTAAATTTGGAAATCCGCTAGATGAAAAAAGGGTTTCTCGCTGCAATTTAAATTGCAACCAAAGATCTTTCAAGATTATGGAACTAGCAAAGGAGAACTGAGTCTGAAATGAAGAATTTGAATGTCTCTTTTTAAAGAATTAAATCCACTTGGTCTGTTTTTGCTCCAAAAACTGCCTCAAATACGAAACTCGAAAAGCCAAGGAATTTATCACGGCCCGGCCACCCTCCTGGCACTCCTCATTAAACTCATTGTTGAAATACAGTATTGGTTACAGTACTCAAATAAGGAGGTCTGATTATAGGAGTCCACAATGTGCCCTCTACAGGGTGTCTATGTTTCCTTGCGTTTCAGCTGGAAGGTCAGACCTGCTGCTTTGCTGCCCTGCCATTCTCTCTGAGTGCCTTGCTGCAACGTTCTCATCCTGAGTGTGCTCGGGGTCCCAGGTGCGGGCAGAACATCCATATGCACATGCAGTTCAACTGGAGACTACCTGGTGCTCTTCACTTTGTCCTTTAGGACTAAGGGGGACCTTCGGCGGGGCCTCAGGCTGGGATGTAGTCAGTGCCGACATCTGCACAGCTTTTTCTCAGCCCAGTTGAGCTCATCACTAACTCCCTGGGGAGGCAATAACTGATTCCAGGAACTGCTTGGAATTTTCCCCTCATTTACTGATATTTTCCCCTCACCCATAAAACACACACGCAACCTTCTTCTCACAAAGCTTTCCCATATCCCTTGAGATTGTTAACGTATATGTACCAGGAACTGAATCTCAGAATACAGAGAATTCCTGTTTTTGAAGGTTTATACACTTAAAAAGCACTCTCAGACCATGAAGACATGCTTGTCTTGTACACTGAAAAGAGATAAACCTCCAATTGAGCCAACACTCACTCTTTTAAAGCAATTAGAAATGGAACACCTTTAATCTCATAGACTAATGTACGTTATTTTTGCTGCAGAAAAAAAATTTGAACATATATACTATGATAATTGCATAGAAGAACAAGATCTAGTGGGTGTGGCTCAGTTGGTTGGCATGTCATCTTGTACACCGAAAGGCTGTGGGTTTGAACCCCGGTCCGGGCATTAATAGAAGGCAGTCAATGTTCTTTCACATTTCTCTCTCTTTCTCTCTCCACCCGCCCCTCCCCCACCTCTACCTTCCTCCCTCCCTCCTCTTCTCTCTAAAATCAATAAGCATATCCTCAGGTGAAGATTTTAAAAAATAAAAGAACAAGATTCAGGTTAATGGGATTCTGATTCTGAAGCATAATTCTCCATGAATTAAACCTCCAAGTATTAACTGATTATAGTTATGATAATCACAACAGTTAGAGACATTGAGATTTTGTGTTACATCACAAAGTCTCAGTGTCTGTAACTCACACAATGTTGCATGTCAAATTTACTCAATCAAAAAAAGTATCGCTTTCAAAAATTTCAGAAATCTCAAACTTTTATAAAGCTTCCGCATCTGTCATGTTTGGTTTAAATGTTTATTTTCTTTTTTTCAAATTAAAGAAGCAGTCTCTTTGTTTTTGATGCATGCATATATGGGAAACTTTCATTTCCTTAAAGTTTTAGAATTTGTAGAATGTTTTGTAAATTAAACTTTTTGCACCCAATAGACAGGTTTCAAAACTCTCACTATCCTTTAATAATATGAGCTCAGATCACTGTATCTTCCTCTTCTACAACTGCTTCATTGGTTTTCCATTAAGAATCATATTGATTATCAAATTGCTCTTTAACCTAAGAGTCATTGTACCTTTCTGCTTTCTTAATTAGTTTTTCTCTACATGTCTAGACACTCACCAACTACTGAATCACTCAGTTCAAAAATCTAGTAAATTGTTAAGTCACTGGCCCCACTTTGGTAAAGGTACCTTTGGAAAAAAACATTACGATGTTCTAATGTTCAATCTTCGATGTATACATTTTTTTAAACTTTACTATGGGCTGAAATAACTGAAATTCTAAGTTACTGTTCTAACAAAATGTCAGTTTTTAAAGATATCAAAAAAAAAAAGGCTGTTATTATATGAAAAACAAACTAAAAATTGTATCTAATAATTACCTGTGGGCTTAAGCCATTTTATTAAAGATTCAAAACACAGGCTTCAAACACTGATTTAAGTTCTTTAGAATAATTACAAAATTCAAATTGAATCAATAAATTAGAGCTGTTTACAGGAAAACATTGAAGATTCCTCTTTAACAAGTCTTATTAATTAAATCAAA